CCCCCGCCGTGGAGAGAATGGCAGAACTGCAGGCTGCATACAAGTAATCTCTGCGACATCGCCGGAATCACTTGTACAAAACAAGCGGCGGTTTCCCGCTGTACATTTAGCTCTGCTTGTCCAAAGCAGGGCTAAATGTAGAAAATGTAGAGAACAATCACCCGCCCGGCACCGAGAACTGCATGTCCCGGGCATCGAGAGGTAGGAATTCCCCACCCCTGCTGCCTCCCTGCTGCTGGCCGGGCCTTGGTTGGCCTTGTGGGAAATCCGTCCCTGGGTGGGACGCAGGAAGGTGGTTCAGAAGTTAGCAAAGCTGCCTTGTGCCAGTGCGGTCCTGGGCAGATATAAGCATGTGCTTTTATTTATGTCCTGCACCTGGTTGCTCCACTAGGCAGATCTCTATAGTATCCGGTGACCTTATCTTATGGTGAAGAACGGCCTTTCTCAGCCAGAGTTCCTCCAGAGGTTGCTAGAGGTTCCTTAAGCAGTAAGCAATCTCTGTCTCTCAGGGGGGGGGTAATCTTTTAAATGATTAAAGGGTATCTGTGGTCGAAAACTAAAAATAAATCTGTATTTCTATATTTAATTTCCATACGTTCTTTCCCACTCCTAAAAATTATTTCCATCTAGAAGTTTGTTTAAAGGAAAACTAAGGGGTCAGGGCTTTTCCCCATAGTTCTCCTTAGGGTAACGGGAGGACACAAACTAGCGTCCTCCCGTTACCCTAAGCTCAGTATACCGCAAGCTACAGCTCGCGGTATACTGAGATGCCGGAGCGGATCCCGACATCGATGTCGAGATCCGCCCAGCTGCGTGAGTGACAGCTGGCTCTGCCTATCTAGAGGCAGAGCCAGCTGTACCCGCCCCCTTCCCCCATCCGTTCCGCCAGTCAGCGCTGGCGGATCGGAGCGGGGAGGGGGGAATCCAGCCCCTCCCCTGTCACGGCAGAGAGCCGTGACAGGATCGAGAGGTGAGCGAACGCCGGTATGTGTTCGCTCACCTCCCGATCTACTGAGCCGACCTGTGACAGTCTCATTGCCACATATCAGCTAGAACTATGAGGTGAGTGAAAAGCACTCCCCTCATAGTTCTACTTTTATATATATATCAGTGGTATCTTCTCTCTGTATGTGGGATCTCGTTCCTCATTGGAATGTAACACCGATCGGCTGCAGCAATTTAAAGGGAGGATTGCTTCAGATTGTTCTTTCTTTTCATTTAAGTGCCAGAGAAATGACTGTAATTTCAGACACTTTAGGCGGCATTAAGAGATCAGACTCAACGTCAGCCGGAGTCATGCAGTCAGCGCGGGTTTGCGTGGCACGTTTTGACAGAGAGGCGAGATTGACTGCGACAAGGTTTTCACAAAACATGACATAATTGCAATTGATTCCACTAGAAACATGCATGTGGGACACGTAGGGGGGCAGGAGCACCCAGCACGTCTACATACATGTGTGTTTTCCTGCGTTTTAAAGCTGAACTCCGGCCTTCCCTTCAGTCTTGCACAGTCGTGCCGGCTCCTCTCCTGGACTGAAATGGCTTCCTCTGATTTCACTGCACACTGCGAGCTTCTCACAATGTACATTAAAAGCTGCAGCAAGTCTGATAGAGCCCGCCTCATTTCCTGGCTGGAGGACATTCAGCAGCATCTAGCCCTATCCTCCCCAGCCTTACTGCCCCTGGCCCAGGGTCGGTGCTGCCACTAGGCAAACTAGGCAGCCTCCTAGGGCATACTGCTGCCTGGGGCAGCCTTGACACCCCCCCCCCCCCTTTTCAAATTGCAAAAGCAAATAGCAGGGCGGCTATTGAATCCCCGCCCACTAAGAGGAGGAGTCCTTGCCCACGTGTCGTCGGGGGGGGGGGGGGGGGGGTGCAATAGCCAGTCTGCTATTGTATATTTCAAATTAAAATAGCCAATAGCAGTCGCCTCCGGAAGCTAGCCGGCAGGAGAATGGGGCTGCGCCGGGCGGGGCATTGGGGGTTACACCACATGAGGGTGACTGGGGGGGTGCAAGTAGCTGGTCTTGCCTAGGGTGCAAAATAGTCTAGCGCTGGCCCTGCCCTGGCCCCACCCATTTCATTCATTGGATTTCAGTTCTTCTCATCATGGATGCTCAGCATCACATGTGGACGTTACCTGGGGTGGTCTGCATGCCAAAGCAGCCTGTTCAGAAACGCCCACTCCTCCAGACTGACACCCACCCAACAAGGCATGTTGATATTTGCATAACTCCTCCCAAGAGCCCGCCCACTGCTTGCATCAGGACTGAGGGCTCTGGAGAAGAATACTAAGGCAGGGTGCTGTGCTGTTTCAGGAAGCTACAGTATGTACAGCAGTGCAGCACCCTGCCAGGCCCCTCCCACTGTCTGCATTGCATGACCGGGGGAGTGGCCGACAATGGGTTCTGTCCAGATTGCATAGAGAAGCACAAAATAAAGTCTAAAATAAAGTATGCTATGAAAACGGAAAGGTTTTCTTTAGGAACTCTATTGGCATGTTAATGAGGGTGGAAAAGGGGAACCTGGGAAGGTCAAAATATAAGTAACATAAACCTCACGTTTGTACTGTAAATTGTCGTAGGGGAAATAGGTGGGGTGCCGGTGCCCCGGTGCCGGTGCAGACCTGAAACCATTCATAGAATCCACATGGAGGAAAGAGATCTATCTAACAAACATAAAATGGTGAACAGGTCCTGTAAGAGATTTTGTCTGGCTTATCTAACCTTGGATGTAATATACAATTCTGTATAGAACATTACTTCTCTATAAGTTCAATTCCCGGTATTGTGTTATTCCCCCCTCCCCCCCTTATTTATAACAAGATTACTAATATAAAAATATATATATATATATATATATATATATATATATATATATATATATATATATATATATATATATATATATATATATATATATATTATGTAGCGTGATTCCAGTTCCAGTGATCCCTAACATTCACCCCAAGATTGACATATAGCCTTTTCCCACCTATACCCAGGCGCTTTGATCCTGCGGACTTTAGGTCCACGTTAATCTAGAGCGCACCTGGCTAAGCTTATCACATGCAATGTGCAGATCACTAACCCGCAGGAAACATGTCTGTTTGCAGATGGCGGTGATGCATCCTTACTGTATGATTAAGAAGGAGGAAGAAGCTTGTTTGGAGAAGATCCAGAGGTATGAGCTGGAGATGTGGAATGATTCTATGCCGGGTAAGTGCCTTCGTTAGCAGCTTGGTGTATATGCAGATAAAGCAAACTTTGATATTATTTTAGTGATTGGAGATTAACCATTTCAGCTCTCACTTCCCCTATGGAGCAGAGCAAATTATAATTACTTTATATAATAAAGTTATATATGTATATATTTTATATATACAGTCTTCAGCGCCAAATTATAGCTAATTTGCCTACAAACGTCAGGTGGTCATAATAATCTGGCAACTCTGTGTATATATATATACACAGTAGCTTTGCTCTCTGTGAGGAAGCAGTGGTCTTCTTGCAGAGGTCTGACATGCCTACTGCTGAGTCAGTGCTAGAGCTCTCCAATCAGCTGAGGTCATTCTCACTGCTGATTGGAGAGCTCTGGCTCTGACTCAGCAGTAGGAGTTTCCGACCTCTGCAGCGAGACCTCTGCTTCCTCACAGAGAGCAAGGGTCCCTCTCTATTTTCTAATGAAAATACATGGGAAGACTTTACACACCGTTTGTTTTAATGCACCTGGAATGTATTTAACGGATTTAATAGGTCAAGGTCTGCGTGGTTAAGGTTAATGACAAGCCTTTGCCTTAGAACTGCCTTTCTCAATCAGGGTGACGTGGCACCCTGGCGTGCCTTTTGGCTTGCTCAGGGGTGGCTCCAAATTGTGTGATATTAGGACTGTGAGATGAAGGGGGAATGAAGATTGAGGTGAATTGGGCTCCTGATGTAAAGGGGGAACTCTGATATGAAAGGGGGGTTCCTGATGTGAAGGAGGGCTGCTGAGGCAAAGTATGACTCTGTTGTTAAGGGGAAACTCTGGTGTTAAGGGGGGGTCCGATATGAAAGTGGGACTTCTAATGAGAAATAAGGCTCCTGAAGTGAAGGAGGGCTGCTGAGGCAAAGGGGGGTATTTATTTGAAGGGGGCATTTTGATGTGAAGGGGGAAACCCACTTTTTTGTCTATTTTTGCAAGGGGTCACCTTAAAATCTAACATTTTAGACAGGGGTGCCTTAAGATTTTGCATACTTTTAAAGGGTGCAGTGGCTGAAAAAAGGTTGAGAAGCACTGGCTTGGAATGTGCCCATGTGGTGCAACAGTAAGTATTTATTAGTTAGCTTCGCCCACAGCAATAGAACATCGACTTCCATCACGTATCTTTGATATGATTGCTCAATACTGATTGGATGGAAGGGCTAAGTGTTTAGTGGGTTTAGGGTTATAACCCGCCGCAATAAAATGAGATGGAGCAGACAGTCGGTTCATCTATAAATGAACAATGTTAATGTGTGCAGTTCATTCTTATCCCGCAATTCCCCGGAGATCAAGGATTAAACCAAATAGTCTCTACTCTCTTCATACAGATCTGCTGGGAGATAAAAGGCTGTTATTATGTATCACATTCATTATTGCATTCTAGATTAACCTGAGCAAGAGAGAGACGTTATGTTCTTTATTTCTTTTCCTCGCATGTACTATCGGAGGTTTGGTTTTATCTGCAGACACGTTGATCCAGACGCCGGCAGATTGTGATTATTCTACATTGTCATTTCGGAGCTGCTACTTTTCAGACGAGGGATTGTTTCCTTATGAGGCCGATAATCAAGTGCAGATTTTGGGGCAGAATAAACATATTTCTAAATCCAAGAACAGAATTGTAATACACTGACTGGCCAAAAATAAAAGTCACGCGTTTTAATATTTAATTGGATCTCCTTTTGCTCTGGTTACGGCACGCATTTGCCGTGGCATAGTTTCAATAAGCTTATACAATGTCACAACATTTATTTCTATCCAGAGTCGCATTAATTTATCTTGTAGTGATGATGGGAGATTTGGACCACTGCGTAAGGTCTTCTCTAGCACATCCCAAAGATTCTCAATGGGGTTAAAGGAGAACTATGAGGTGAGTGCTTTTCACTCACCTCATAGTTCTAGCCGACCTGTGACAATGAGACTGTCAAAGGTCGGCTCAGTAGATCGGGAGGTGAGTGAACACATACCGGCGTTCGCTCACTTCTCGATCCTGTCACGGCTCTCTGCCGTGACAGGGGAGGGGCTGGATTCCCTCCTCCCCGCTTTGATCTGCCAGCGCTGCCTGGCGAAACGGATGGGGGAGGGGCAGGTACAGCTGGCTCTGCCTCTAGATAGGCAGAGCCAGCTGTCAGTCACGAAGCTGGGCGGATCCCGGCATAATTGTTGGGATCCGCTTCAGCTGTGACATCTTAGTATACTGCGAGCTACAGCTAGGGTGACGGGAGGACGCTGGTTTGTGTCCTCCCGTTACCCTAAGGAGAACTATGGGGAAAAGCCTTAACCCCATAGTTCTCCTTTAAGGTTTGGACTCTGTGGTGGCCAATCCATGTGTGACAATGAGGTCTCATGCTCCCTGAACCACTCTTTCACAATGTGAGCCCGATGAATACCATCATTGTCATCTTGGAATATGCCCTATGTGCCATCAGGGAAAAAAGATCCATTGATGGAAAAAACCTGTTCATTCAGTATATTTAGGTAGGCAGCTGACCTCATTTTTTGGGCACATAACGTTGCTGAACCTAGACCTATTATCCATTGGAAGGCTCTGACCTATTTGCTTAGCTAAATCCAGATGCTGACTTTTTGTTATTGGCTGTGGATACACTTTAAATGTTCTTGGTAGGGCACTTTTGCGTGGAGGTGAATGGGGTGCTGTCATTGTATCGTCGTTCAGGATGCGCTGTCAGTGGCTCAGTCCAATGCCCCACCCAGCTCATTGACATCACTGGTTGCCAGGACCTTAGTGGGACGCCAGTCATAGTGAGCTGGGGGGGATACCGGACAGAGAGTTGCTAAGAGCTCTTAGCAACTTGGGACGTTGTGTACGCCCCCAGCAAGATGCCACCTTAGGGAACCAACTCAGGCTCCAACATTATAGGGATGGCCCGGTTCTTGGTTCAACTGGCATATAATGACAGGTCACATTATCATACTTCTGCCAGGATACAATTAACCCCCCTACAGTCCTCCTCACCACCCGAGTGACTGGGCAGTCCTGACCAGACTCTGCCCACTTACCGGAGTGGCCTGCACAAAGCCCACCTCTCATTGGGCTAGGACTGCCCACTTGTAGCCTCCAATCACAGTACCAAATGTTTTATTGAGCTGCTGAGCATGCACAGTAACTAAAATAAGGGTGATAGAGTGATCCCGGATCATGGCACCATCAGGACTGATGTGGCCCCGTCCTGGCAAATCTGGGACAGTTGACATCTATGCATTGATTAAATAGTGCAGCATAGATTTTCCATGCCAAGTAAAATATGACCTCAGCGCAGTATAGCTTTGTGAATAACAAGCCCCAACCCCCAACTCAACTGGAAAATGAAAGGAAGCTTCCAGAATTGCTGACTTTGGGGTGAATAAAGTGAAGATCCAACACTATGACGAGTTCCCTCTAAACTAGGCGAGATGCAGCTAGTTGGCTAAGTCAATTTTGCCTTTGCCCCACTGATGCCCACAGAGACATGCAGTCTAGACCAGGAGTAGGCAACCAGTGGTCTGAATCCTAGACCAGGAGTAGGCAATCTTGCCACTGGTCAAACTACAAATTCCATCATCCCGCTTGTCTCTGGGAGTCCTGCCTGGGTCTGTCCGATACTTAGTCCTTTACTTCTCTTAACTTCCCAGAAGAATTGACATTGGCTTTTATCTATTTTAATGTACGAAAAATAAACAGGAAATGTATCATATGTAAACCAGTTCTCCCAAAGGGGACAAAAACAAAGCACATGTGTCCTAATTTTGGCAATGCATTCAGTGGGAATGAAGCATTTATCCCTGACAAGACTTCTAGGGACGCATTCCTCCCATTCGGACTATTCGTGTATAATAATGTGAAATGGAGAAAAATATTGGGTGTGAGACACATGCTGTATATTGGAGCCAGGTTGTATGTGGAGTCATGTACACTCCGCTGTAATACCCAGTACTTCTAATTAGAGGTGCACCGAAATGGAATTTTTAAAACCGAAATAAAAAAAAATGTCAGGCCGAAACCGAAACCAAAAATGTTTTTTATTTTTATTTTTTCAATTTTTTAAAATATTTTTTTTTATAAACTTTTAAATTTTTTTATATTTATTTGTATTTATTAATTCATTTTTTTATTAAATATTTGTATTTTTTACTTTACTTTTAGGGGCTTCGGGGAAATATTAGGGGTCTAAACAGACCCCTGATATTTCCCTTTTAAAATAAAAAGGGGTTTGAGAACACAGAGTCCTCAATCTCTTTTTCTGTGTCCCCTGTTATCAGTGAACAGGAATCCTCTATACTGAGTGTTCCTGTTCATTGATAACATGAGGACATGGCATGTTTACTATAACTACAATTATGAATGAATGGAGGTGATGTAGATGGGATGTAGATCACTTCCCATTCATTCATAATTGAGTATATAGTTAACATGCCATATCCTCAATTATGTACACACACTCAGCGATCACTGATCACCGAGTGTGTGTACCTTGCTTTTCTCTCTGACACACTGTCACAGGAGGCTGAGCGAGCCGTGTAGAGAGGAAAGCCCAGCCTCCTGTGACAGCGATGTCTCCGCCCCCACACCGCTCTGCTGGACTGTGATAGGCGGCTGAGCGGTGTGGGAGGAGAGATGCCGCAGCTCACAGCACTCTCGTCCTGACTCCTGCAGCGCTCAGCGCCTGTCACTTTCTTTTCTCCCCGCTGGAACAGCGCCCAGCAGGGAGAAAAGAAACCAGGGATGCGCCGATGTATCGGCCGAAACATGGCTCTTTCTGCATTATGCCAAAAGTGCCATTTTCGGCTGATATGTTTCGGCGGCCGATATATCGGTGCATCCCTACTTCTAATGTGTTTGCGTTGCAGAAGGAGGTGACAACACTCTTCAGGTCCTGATGACTCTGTCCGAACCTTAGTTCATCCCTAGTGTGAACTGAAGGTGTAGGCAACCTCGGCACTCAGGGCCGGATTTACTCTCTCTGCTGCCCCAAGG